GTTCTTTGCTGTATAACTGAATTTTTAACAGTGAAAAACAAAACATTCTGGATCAATCTACAACTCCTTCCATATTCTATCCCAGCCATGTTCTGTACCTATAACAGGAACACCCTCCCTGCTATTACAGTTATAAAACCTGAATGACAGTTTAACTCTCTGTATTTTAATACTTTTGAGATTTGAGACTTTAAAAACACAAACTACTCTAAAACAAGGAAGTGCTCTGTGATTCATTTTAGAGTCAGTGAAATATAGTATTTAAAATTCCCTCCTTTGTCTCCTCAGTATCGCCAGGACCTAGGGAACCACACACGTCCTTTTTCTCCAGCAACGACTACACTGTGGTTCCAGCCCACAATTCTTTTTGTTTTTGGAACTTGCTCTGTAGACCAGGCTGGCCTCAAACTCACAGAGATCTGCCTGCCTCTGTCTCCTGAGTGCTGGGATTAAAGGTGTGCTCCACCACATCCAGCCTCATTTCTTTTAAGAAAGAAGAATAGACCTCAGTTTAGTAACCATTTAAGACAGAGCTAATGTGGGGATGACTACAGTGTCAGGATATAACTACAGTGTGGACAGACTATACAGTGAGGGAATGACTGCAGTGTGGCAGGTGTAACTATGGTGACAGGATATGATTACAATGAGAGAGTTAAATGGGCAATGGTGGTGCACGCCTTTCATTCCAGAACGCAGGAGGCAGAGACTGGTGGATCTCTGTGACTTCAAGGCCAGCCTGGTCTAGGACAGCTAAAGCGGTTACAAGGAGAAACCCTGTCTCAAAAAACCAAAATAGTGATGATGATAATAATGATAACAAAGGGGAGGCCTACAGTGAGGGGAGGACTATAGTTGAAGGGAGGACTATTTGAAGTAAACCACCTGGGGCAAGAGGGTAACCCAAGCAATGTACAGGTAACTCTCCAACTATTCTTATAAAGCAGCACCCAGGACAGTCAAATACCTGTCTGCACCATTACCATAACCTAACAGCCAGGTGGCAACTATCTAGAACTTCCCAAGTTACAACTCAAAACCATTTTTTGTTGTTTATTTTACTGGAGACAGAGTTTCTCTGTGTGGCCGTGGCTGACCTGGCACTCTCTCTTTAGACCAGGCTGGCCTCAAACTCAGAGATCACCTGCCTCTGCCTCCTGAGTGTTGGGATTAAAGTCATGAGCCACCACACCCAGCTCTCAAAACCAAATTTAAAGGTAAACCACTAATAGTCTGATGGGCATCAATTTCACAAATAGCAGGAAGTCACATGACTGTCATCAGTAAAATCAAAAGTTAACCTGAAGCCACCAATAAAATAACCTGTAACAAATACTCAGGAACATGTTAAAGGGCCACGGTTGATGATCAGGTGGCCCAACTCTTACCTAGAAACTAGCACCAGAATTAGACAACAAAAACAATGAAATGTACATGTCTTTTCACTTGAGGTCAGAGAGTAAATCCCAGGATAATATACAGAAAATTATGGACAATCTGACAAATATTTGAGTATTTTTAGTGTCTCTCAACTTTATAAAGTATCTTCCATTGGAATTTCACGATTCCTCAATAAAAACCACTTGAAATCAGTTAACAGAAGAAAAATAACCTTTACTCTTGAATTTTTTAATAACAAAATAAAATAGGAAGTTCAGCCAGGCATGGTGGTGCACACCTTTAATCCCAGCACTTGGGAGGCAGAAGCAGGTGGATGTTTGTGAGTTCAAAGACAGCCAGCCAGTGTGCTACACTGAGAAATGAGAAATCCTGTCCCAAAAAACAAACGAAAAAACCAGTCAACCAACCAAACAAGTAAATACATAAAAATAGAAAGTTCATCAATACTTACATACCCCTTTACTAGCAATGGGAGTTTAGGAAGCTAGTTTTATTCTGGTTAATGTTCTTTCTATAGCCAATCTTAAAAAACAAAACAAAACAAAAAACACTAAAGCATTAATTTCTGTTCTTAAAAATATAACACCAATTCCTAAGTTCCTTTGACAGGACTTCAACTGTGATAAAAAGAAAGCCCAGCTAGTTTATTAAAGCCAAGTCTGTCTTTTCTACTACCTATTTTATTTTTCTCCCAGAACACGTATTAGGTTGTTCTTCTGTCTGATGCAGTTTAAATTATGTCCCCACAAGTTTTACATTTCATTAGTATGGGACAAAAGCCAGTTACAAACCCTGAAACAATTTCCACTGCTGAAGGAGGTTCAAGCATTATTAAACTACTAATAGCATCAACCTTAAAAAACAAAAAAGACAAACATGAGAGATTCCACAATTTATCTACTGAGCTGAGTATTCCTTCCCTAAAATGCCTGGAGCAAGACGAGTCCTGGATTTTGGCTTACTCAACTGTATCTGCCTATAATGAGGAACCCATGGCATCTAAGCATGAAGTTCATTTGTTTCAAGAGTGCCTTATACACATAAAGTAAAGGAAACCACAGCCAGTACTTTTATTTCACTTGTGTGGATTTGATGGTTGGTTTCCCACTTAGGGAATCACACCAGTGTTCAAGCCTGTGCTTCAGGTTTCTGACTTCCACTCTGAGATGCCTATTTAACTCTTTAAAGGTTTGTGGGTGATCATCAAAATGTTATAATCTACAAAAACATGAAAACGTCCTATATAGAATTTCTTCTAATCCTGACTCCCTTAGCCACTGCTCAGACATCATCTGTCATCTGGATAAACGAGTATATATATTTTAAAGATATTAGTTTTAGTTACAAGCATGTGTGCATTTGCAGATATGTATACCTCAGTGCAGATGCCAGAGGCCAGAAGCACCCTCCTGGAGATGGAGTTACATACAAATAGTAACTGCAGATATGGGTGTTGGGAACCGAACTCTAGTAGTCCTATACAAGAACTTTTTTTTTTTTTTTTTTATAAGTCATGTAAACAGTAGCTTAAAGTTGGAACGGCTATACAACATCAGACAACCTAACTTCAAAATATGGACAAATGATAAGGTCCACCCACAAGAAAGATGCAGTTACAAACATAAGCTTATATGCACCTGTCAACCAGGTCCCAAAACACACAAAGCAAAAACTCAGAAATGCCAAGACAATTTAACATGTAGAGATTCATTACCTTTCTTTCAATAAACACAACAGATCAGTAAGGTAACAGACCTGACATTATAAACCAACTAGGCCCAGCAGCACACACACCCTTGACAAGTATAAACACACAATGTTCTCTAGGATATATTGTACACTGCCATCAACTAACTCTGTAAGAACTAAGATCATACAATGCATATTCTCTAAACAGTGAAATAAAATCATGTGGGAAATTAGAAAATATTTTAAATGGATAAAAAACAAACATCATATCTTACAGGAAGTAAGTGCTTAAATAAAACTTAGATATGAATGTATTAGCAGCCCTAGTTGTAACAACAGCCTGTGGTAGTTTGAAATGTAATTGGTCCCCATAAGCTCCTAAGGGAGTGGCACTCTTAGGAGGTGTGGCTTTGTTAGAGTGGGTGTGGCCTTGTTGGAGGAAGTGTGTCACTGTGGGGACAAGCTTAGAGGTCTCTCAAGCTATGCTCAGTGTGACAGAGTCTACTTCCTGTTGCCTGCAAGATACAGAACTCTCAGCTATCTCTCTAGCACCATGTCTCCTGCATACATACCGCCATGTCCCACCATGACGACAATGGACTGAACCTCTGAAACGCTAAGCCATCACCTCAATTAAGCGTTTTCCCTTATAAGAGTTGCCATGGTCATGGTGTCTCTTCACAGCAATAGAAACCCTAACTAAGACACAGCCAAAAAAGTAAAAGAACTTTAACATCTAATAACTGATAAATGGATTTTTACAAACTATACATCCATAAACTTGAGTATTATTCAGCCATAAAAAGCAGTGACTTGGGTCTGGAGAGATGGCTCAGAGGTTAAGAGCACTGGCTGCACTTTCCAGAGGTCCTGAGTTCAATTCCCAGCAACCACATGGTGGTTCACAACCATCTATAATAAGATCTAATGCCCTCTTCTGGCATGCAAGCATACAAGCAGACAGAACACTGTGTACATAATAAATAAGTAAATAAATAAATAGCAGTGACTTATGCTACAACATAGATAAACCTTGAAAATACTATACTAAGTAAAAGAATCCAGACATGAAAAGCCACACATGATGATTCTGTGTATATGAAATATCCAACTAGGTTAAGTGTATCTTCTGGCAGAAAACAGAATTTGTTTTAATGTTTGCTATGAGCTATGAAGATGTGACACAGAGAGCTGACTACTGATGAGGATACTGGGTCCACCTGTGCTGAGGAACGCTCTGGACCCAGACAGCAACAGCACTAGCACAGTACTCGGGATGAACTGAAAATGTCTCTAAGTAACATTTTATCTTAACATAGGTGTATTTTATGACAATGAAAAAAATTACTTTTAGCTAGGCACAGTGGCATGCCTTTAATCCCACCACTCAGCAGGCAGATCTCTGTGAGTTCCAGGTAAGCCTGGTCTACACAGTGAGTTCCACTCCAGCCAGGGCTACACAGAAAGCCTGTCACAAAACATTACTTATAGAAAACAAAATAATGTTAAGAAATGTATTCAAACTAAATTATTTTGGTATTTTAAAAATGTAACATGTTTTTTGGGGGGGGAGGGGTGCACGTCACACCTTCCATCTCGAGGTTAGAGCACACCTGGCAGGGGTCTGTTCTCTCATTCCACCATGTGGGCTCTAGGACTGCACCCAGTCAGCAGGCTTGACAGCATGTGTGCACCCTCACCCACTGCAACACCCACATTTTTAGTTTTTGGAGACAGGTTCTTACTACGAGGTTCAAGTTGGTCTTGAACGAATGATCTTCCTGTCTCAAGCCTCCCAGGGGCTAACACTGCAGGCCATGACAACATGGACATTTTAAAAGTCAAGTATTTTAAATAAACCAGCAGAATATTGAATGTAAACATTATTAACAGAAACATGTAGCCCATACCTGTATGTGAGGCCAAGAGGCCTCCAGTGTGGGTTCGTCCTCTTCTGGATCAAAATCTGGATTATCACTTGGAGGAAGCGTACGGAAGATATTAGCACTAATCTGGAAGAAATTAAATTTGGATTCATGTTCTTTGCTGTATAACTGAATTTTTAACAGTGAAAAACAAAACATTCTGGATCAATCTACAACTCCTTCCATATTCTATCCCAGCCATGTTCTGTACCTATAACAGGAACACCCTCCCTGCTATTACAGTTATAAAACCTGAATGACAGTTTAACTCTCTGTATTTTAATACTTTTGAGATTTGAGACTTTAAAAACACAAACTACTCTAAAACAAGGAAGTGCTCTGTGATTCATTTTAGAGTCAGTGAAATATAGTATTTAAAATTCCCTCCTTTGTCTCCTCAGTATCGCCAGGACCTAGGGAACCACACACGTCCTTTTTCTCCAGCAACGACTACACTGTGGTTCCAGCCCACAATTCTTTTTGTTTTTGGAACTTGCTCTGTAGACCAGGCTGGCCTCAAACTCACAGAGATCTGCCTGCCTCTGTCTCCTGAGTGCTGGGATTAAAGGTGTGCTCCACCACATCCAGCCTCATTTCTTTTAAGAAAGAAGAATAGACCTCAGTTTAGTAACCATTTAAGACAGAGCTAATGTGGGGATGACTACAGTGTCAGGATATAACTACAGTGTGGACAGACTATACAGTGAGGGAATGACTGCAGTGTGGCAGGTGTAACTATGGTGACAGGATATGATTACAATGAGAGAGTTAAATGGGCAATGGTGGTGCACGCCTTTCATTCCAGAACGCAGGAGGCAGAGACTGGTGGATCTCTGTGACTTCAAGGCCAGCCTGGTCTAGGACAGCTAAAGCGGTTACAAGGAGAAACCCTGTCTCAAAAAACCAAAATAGTGATGATGATAATAATGATAACAAAGGGGAGGCCTACAGTGAGGGGAGGACTATAGTTGAAGGGAGGACTATTTGAAGTAAACCACCTGGGGCAAGAGGGTAACCCAAGCAATGTACAGGTAACTCTCCAACTATTCTTATAAAGCAGCACCCAGGACAGTCAAATACCTGTCTGCACCATTACCATAACCTAACAGCCAGGTGGCAACTATCTAGAACTTCCCAAGTTACAACTCAAAACCATTTTTTGTTGTTTATTTTACTGGAGACAGAGTTTCTCTGTGTGGCCGTGGCTGACCTGGCACTCTCTCTTTAGACCAGGCTGGCCTCAAACTCAGAGATCACCTGCCTCTGCCTCCTGAGTGTTGGGATTAAAGTCATGAGCCACCACACCCAGCTCTCAAAACCAAATTTAAAGGTAAACCACTAATAGTCTGATGGGCATCAATTTCACAAATAGCAGGAAGTCACATGACTGTCATCAGTAAAATCAAAAGTTAACCTGAAGCCACCAATAAAATAACCTGTAACAAATACTCAGGAACATGTTAAAGGGCCACGGTTGATGATCAGGTGGCCCAACTCTTACCTAGAAACTAGCACCAGAATTAGACAACAAAAACAATGAAATGTACATGTCTTTTCACTTGAGGTCAGAGAGTAAATCCCAGGATAATATACAGAAAATTATGGACAATCTGACAAATATTTGAGTATTTTTAGTGTCTCTCAACTTTATAAAGTATCTTCCATTGGAATTTCACGATTCCTCAATAAAAACCACTTGAAATCAGTTAACAGAAGAAAAATAACCTTTACTCTTGAATTTTTTAATAACAAAATAAAATAGGAAGTTCAGCCAGGCATGGTGGTGCACACCTTTAATCCCAGCACTTGGGAGGCAGAAGCAGGTGGATGTTTGTGAGTTCAAAGACAGCCAGCCAGTGTGCTACACTGAGAAATGAGAAATCCTGTCCCAAAAAACAAACGAAAAAACCAGTCAACCAACCAAACAAGTAAATACATAAAAATAGAAAGTTCATCAATACTTACATACCCCTTTACTAGCAATGGGAGTTTAGGAAGCTAGTTTTATTCTGGTTAATGTTCTTTCTATAGCCAATCTTAAAAAACAAAACAAAACAAAAAACACTAAAGCATTAATTTCTGTTCTTAAAAATATAACACCAATTCCTAAGTTCCTTTGACAGGACTTCAACTGTGATAAAAAGAAAGCCCAGCTAGTTTATTAAAGCCAAGTCTGTCTTTTCTACTACCTATTTTATTTTTCTCCCAGAACACGTATTAGGTTGTTCTTCTGTCTGATGCAGTTTAAATTATGTCCCCACAAGTTTTACATTTCATTAGTATGGGACAAAAGCCAGTTACAAACCCTGAAACAATTTCCACTGCTGAAGGAGGTTCAAGCATTATTAAACTACTAATAGCATCAACCTTAAAAAACAAAAAAGACAAACATGAGAGATTCCACAATTTATCTACTGAGCTGAGTATTCCTTCCCTAAAATGCCTGGAGCAAGACGAGTCCTGGATTTTGGCTTACTCAACTGTATCTGCCTATAATGAGGAACCCATGGCATCTAAGCATGAAGTTCATTTGTTTCAAGAGTGCCTTATACACATAAAGTAAAGGAAACCACAGCCAGTACTTTTATTTCACTTGTGTGGATTTGATGGTTGGTTTCCCACTTAGGGAATCACACCAGTGTTCAAGCCTGTGCTTCAGGTTTCTGACTTCCACTCTGAGATGCCTATTTAACTCTTTAAAGGTTTGTGGGTGATCATCAAAATGTTATAATCTACAAAAACATGAAAACGTCCTATATAGAATTTCTTCTAATCCTGACTCCCTTAGCCACTGCTCAGACATCATCTGTCATCTGGATAAACGAGTATATATATTTTAAAGATATTAGTTTTAGTTACAAGCATGTGTGCATTTGCAGATATGTATACCTCAGTGCAGATGCCAGAGGCCAGAAGCACCCTCCTGGAGATGGAGTTACATACAAATAGTAACTGCAGATATGGGTGTTGGGAACCGAACTCTAGTAGTCCTATACAAGAACTTTTTTTTTTTTTTTTTTTTCGAGACAGGGTTTCTCTGTGTAGCTTTGGAGCCTATCCTGGCACTTGCTCTGGGAACCAGGCTAGCCTCGAGATCCGCCTGCCTCTGCCTCCCGAGAGCTGGGATTAAAGGAGTGCACCACCAACACCCAGCAAGAACTTTATTCTTGAACCTACATCTAAGTTCAAGAACTGAACTATCCAATATGGTGTCCAAGAGCACTGGAACTACTAATCTCTCTGACTTCTATAATCAATGGCCACACCAAGGAATGGATAACATTTCAAATGGGCTTTTTCCTTTGAAACAGAATCTCACTGTGCAGCCCTGGCTGTCCTGGCACTCGCTCTGTAGACCAGGCTGTCCTGGAACTCAGAGACCCACCTGCCTCTGCCTTCCAAGTGCTGGGATTAATGGCGTGCACCACCACACCAAACCCAATGGGGTTTCTGAGAACATCCTTCTGGGTGCGATAGTTACTGTACATACACCTCAGATCCTTGAGCTTACATACTCTGAGGGGTAGAAATCTAGAGGCTTACCATTTTTACTATATCAGAATACGCTGATTCAACAATTACACCACGATTAGTTGAAACATACTCAACCAGTTCATTCAACGTTGCTCTTTTAATTTCTTTGCTCTTCAAGTCTGAAACAGAGTCCATGAAATCAAACAGTACACAGCACTGCTGTAGCTTCTGGCAGAAAAGCTCTTGTTGTTCATTTGAAGTAACATCTATAAACAGAAAAGGGAAAGGCTCTGAATAAATCAACCTTAACATGACTTTTGTGTTTTTTAAATTTAACTTTGTAGAAGGTATTTGCATCGCACAGTCCTCTAAGTGATTGAGGTAAATTTATGCATCTATAATCCTATCATGTGGGGATTTACACTGGCAGTTCTTGCTGCCCACAACCAATCACTGAATATTACTGATTCACACACACCTTTCTTGGGATCACCTCAAATACTTTAGATGCTCATCACCCCACACCTAGATTTCAGTCAGAACATGATAGTTTTCGTAACTAATTACTCATTTCTGATTATTATCTAAGCTGCTTGAAAGTTAAAAAGAATCAATACTATTGTAAGATCCTCTGTATTGTATCAAAGAGCAGCTGCCTATCCCAAATCACCATGCCTCACCACCCCAGTGAAACCACAGGCCTGGAGGCTCCTGGGAGCACATGCTCTTTTCTCAGAATGCCCATCTCCCCACATTACTGTCTTGGAGACTCCACCCCCTGGTTCCATTTTGGCCTAAGTCCTTCATAAGGATTTTCCTAATAGAACTGAAACTAAACAGGCGGGTTAATCCACCTCTTCTCAAGTATTTTAGGCCTGTATCTCTGCTGCAGTACTTTCTGTATCATATGGCAATTGTATCTGTTATTTTCAATTATCCTAATCTACGATGTCCCCCAGAGCAGGAGCCAAGTGTTACCTCACGCCTACTGTTCCCTTCTCCCCTCTAATGCCCAGCATAGAGCCTGGCCCATAAAAGCACGTAATAGATATCTGCCTTTTGCTTGTTACAGAAACAAGGTACTTTACATCAATCCTAACAAATATATTACGTTTTTTTGTTCTTAGCATAAAAAATTACAACCTTTAAACTCTAGACCTTCAAATCTGTCAACAGGAACCTTCCAGTAGCTTACCTAAGTCTCTTGAACTACTGAGATTACATTTCCAAGATCATATACATAAAACCTGATATTTAGTTTCATAACATATAACATTTTTCCAACCAAAACCAGCACCTGTTTTATATAAAGGTATGAAAAAGATCTTCAAAAACATTAAAATATCACCACAGGTATCTACACTGTATGTCCCCATGTGTGGGTGTGTATGTGTGTGTTTGAGAGTACATGTAGGGGCCAAAGGTTGACCTCACATGCCTTTCTCAATCAAGTTCTTCCTTGTTTTTTGAGTCTGGATCTTTCACTGAGCCTGTAACACCACATGTTCAGAACCTGATCCATCTCCACTAAGTCAACCGCATCTGAATGGCCTTTTTCTTAAATCTTTTGGAGTTTTTGGCTCTTAAAGTCGAATGGTTCGTATTTCATTAACAAATGACATTTCCTAGCACTGGTACCAAGTTCATTAGTTTAGAAAGCCACAAGATTCTGTAAACTAACAATGGTAAGCTTTCCGGAATACGTATTACAGATAGCCACTTGAGAAGATGAAATCATTTCTAAGAACCCTTTCTCAACTCACAGAAAAATCCCCATAGTTCTCTCAGTTACTCACTTTTCAAACACACCCATATCATTCAAATACAGATTTATCTTTTCTAAAGTAGACAATGTATCTGTATTACAACTTAGTCTCTTGTGTGTTTGTGGGACTGGGAACTGAACACAAACATCACCCACGCTAGGCAAGAGTCCTACTACTGAGCAACGTTCCCGCCCTGGTATTGCATCTTTAATGTAATTAGATCCCATTACAATGGTCTGAAGATGACAGACGGCACCTTCAGAGGCTGACGCAGTTCTAACAGTCTTAAAACATTTCCTGAGCTTTTTCTCCTCCTCGGCGCTGACATGAACACAACTTCCAGCTGTACCCACTTTTACACATCATCATCTCTCTCAGCGAGTCCTGGTAGCTCACCTCTCCACTCTCACATGTGAAACCATTCAAAACCTTAGCCAGGCATAGTGGCTCACTCATTTAATCCTGGAGACAGAGGCAGGAGAATTTCTAAGAGTGAGGGGCCAGCCTGGTTACACATTGCGACCTTTCTCAACATCAACAGTAAACCCATGCCTTGATGCTACAATACAGTAAGAAAGTGGTAGGAAAATGGTTTGCATTCAGAAGAAACTGATTTCAATTCCAATCCCTTCCCCAACGCTGGAGACACATGGTACAAGACCCTCTCGTGATGCTGGGCAGCTTCATGAAACCTCAAGTATTCGTATCACTCATATCCTAAGATACAGACTATTCCCATTTGCTCAGTCATTCCGAATTTAATTATCCTAAGCTACTTAGAGTTTTGTTCACCCACAAGGTGAACCCTTGGTTGCCAGTCAGGTGGGTCTACCTGGAAGAAATGGATCACTAGGGTTATGCCACTTCTGCCACAATAATGTTCTGCCCAAGAGCATACAGCTTACATAAATAATAAAACAACTTCCTCCTTTATCAGGTATCTTTTGTCAATGCAATCAGAAAACAAACACACTGATGGATAGTAATCTCTTTGAAAACATATAAATGAACGTGACTGTATAAAGGAAGAATATTTAAAACAACAGGCTTGAGTCTCAACTGTCCCCCCCCCTCAGGCTCATGTGGTCCATAGCTGCTGGTGTTGTTTCTGGGGCTGTGGAGCCTTTGGAATCTGGGGCCTAGATGGCAGAGGTAGGTGACTAGGGCTGGGCTTTTCAAAGTTTTAGCACTTGTGGCTCTGGCCTGTATTCTCTGCTTCCTGCCTGACCTGATGCAAATGAGCATCTGCAGCCAGGTGCTCCCAAGGCTGTGCCATCCTGGCTGACAGACTGCCACTCTCTGGAACCATGAGCCACAACTAACACTTCCTCCCTTGAATGGTTTCTGTCAGGTATTTCTGTCACAGAGACGAGGAGAGTTTCCTAATAAATACTTGATCTCCCCAAGTATTTACCAATGAGCAATTGAGAACTACTATATGTACAGCACATTTAACAATTTCAATGCCTTAAGGTTTTTAATGTTGTTCAGGGAAGTATATTACATAATGGTCTGCACTACCCAACTGTACTATTTTTCAGTAACATCCTCAGAACTAAGGCCTTTTTAAAAAAAAATATTTATTAATTATGTATATAGAATTCTGCATCTATGTTCGCCTGCACACCAGAAGGGGGCACCAGATCTCATCACAGATGGCTGTGAGCCACCATGTGGTTGCTGGGACTTGAACTCAGGACCTCTGGAAGAGCAGTCAATGCTCTTAACCTCTGGAGAGCCAGCTCTCCAGCCCGCCTTTTTTTTTTTTTCAAAACTTTTCTGTATAGCTCTGGCTGTCCTAGAACTCAGAGATACCTCCCTCTGGCTCTTAAGTTCTGGAATTAAAGGATGCACCACACCATCCCCAGCCAGAATATGAGTTTTTAAAATGCATGTAACTTTTCCATTTTATTATGACTAAAACTATATTTCACAAAAGACTGTTAAAAATAAAAGTCACTGTGACAAGCAGGTAGGAAAGAGACAGCTCTGAGGAAAAGAGGTTTCCTCTTTGGGGATTCATTAGCATACTGTCAACAACTCCCCAAAGCCCTGTTACATGCTCCCTGAACTTTTCACACCCAACCTGAAGATGTACCTAGCTCATACTGTAAGAAATATTGTCCTACAGTGCTATTTTTCTTTCTTTTCTTTTTTAAGTTTTTTTTCGAGACAGGGTTTCCCTGTGGCTTTGGAGCCTGTCCTGAAACTAGCTCTTGTAGACCAGCTGGTCTCAAACTCACAGAGATCCACTGGCCTCTGCCTCCCGAGAGTGCCAGTACTGTTTTTCAAACTATGGAATGGAACCAACTGGGTAGGAGTATCGTGCTGATGGGTCACAACTAGAGTTATGCAAGTGAACCAATCAGAGGGTCCTGCGTGTAACAGCGTTATATTATTGCACTGTGGATAGGTCCTCAGTTGTAAAGCAAGAAGTGCTCCCCACATCATCCTACGATATGTAAAACAACACTACAGTATCAGCGGCTGGAGTGCAGACGCAGAGCACCTACTACTACATGTATGAGACACGAGACTTCATCCCTACAAGATCCCACACTGGGCAGGCCTAGTGATGAAGGAAATTAGTCACGATACAAAGGGAACGGTGCTATCCACGGAGCACCCAATGTCCCCACAAAGGTGCATCCTGAGGCAGGCCAGTTAGCTCTAAACTGTGGTGTGACCTAACTCCGTGGTCTAAGCGTCCTCATATATGGCAATCAGGTTTCAACAGAAAGGAAATCTAAGAGGTAACAAAAGACAAGCAAGACCTTTGTAAAGAAAATCAAGACACAGCTGGGCGTGGTGCACACCTTTTGGTCCCAGCACTCAGAAGTCAGAAGCAGGCTGATCTCTGTGAACTTGAGGCCAGTCTGTGCTACATAGTGAGTTCCAGGATAGCCAGGGCTATGTAGAGAGGCACTGTCTCAAAAAGCCAAAAGAAAAAAGGAGAGAGAGAGAGAGAGAGAGAGAGAGAGAGAGAGAGAGAGAAAGAGAGAGAAAGACACTGTCATCAAATAAATGGAGATAGATTACAACATATTCAGTATCTTCATCAATGAGTCTACTCAAATAATTTAATTTGGATCAAAATCTTGGCACAATGTTTTGAGAACCTGAAAAGCTGACCTAAAGAACCTAAACATTCATCTAGACCAGAGGTTCTCAGAGGCCTGTGGGTCAAAATCCCTTTGGGGCTGAATGACCGGTTCACAGGGGTCACCTAACATCATCAAAAACAGATATTTACATTACAATTCACAGCAGTAGCAAAATTAGTTATGAGGTAGTGATGAAAATAACTTGGGGGGGGTCCACCGCACCAAGAGAACTGTAGTAAAGGGGCACGGCTTTAGGAAGGTTGGGAACCGCTGCTCTGGACAGTTAAGGAGGCAAGAGCTGCCTCTTGTACTTCACTGTTCCATGTACCCAACACCTATCTGATTGCCCTCAGTTTACCCCACACACTCATCTCTTCCAGCTCCACCCCTTTCTCTCTGTGTTCTCTGCATAAGAGA